TTATGGCATTAATTTATTTACCATTAGTGGCACTAGAGTATAAAGTCAAAAGTAGCATTATTATTCAGTCAAGACTGTTGCTGTTGAATGGCTGTGTGTGGGTAGATTTTAAAGCACCCATTTGTGTTTCATCTAATGCCTTTTTTGTGTGTTCCTTGCTACTACCCAATAAAATTTTGGTGACTTAATTTCTCAAGTAAAGTTATATAGAGTTTTGACTTTGAATAGCTATACTCTCAAGTGTTTGCTCAGAGATTTTCTATCATTTGATATCTAGCCTTGCAGACAGTTATTTAAAATAAGGCTTCCTTTTCTGCTTAGAGTTAGTTCTGTCGGCTTTTCACTGCAAATAAGTGATGTATCGCAGCAATTCAGAGGGTAATGAAAATGTCGTTTATATAAATCACCTGAAGATGTGACCTAATCAGTTCTCTCTGGTCCTAACTTAAAGCTACTGTTTTGTCCTTGCCTTCTTTGAAATGTCTTTTGCTCTCCACAGAGGTGACCATGATGGTTTTTAAGTATTTTTTTTAACCTAAATTATGCAGTGTTCTTCTTACCTGTTTTTCTTCTCATGTTGTCAGGAATGCCTTAAAGGGAGTATCCTGGGATTTGGGATGTGGGAGTTCCATACTTCTCTCCTAGATTCTGTTTGATTTTTATTTTTTTTTTTCCTTGGTAGATCTCTGTTTAGTCTCACCTCAAATTAAAACTGAACTCTCCAGAGTTCATGAGAAGCAAGTATTTTAGTAATCCTTGCCTACTTTTGCTGCAGCAGACACTGATCTTTGCTGGTTTCATCTCTGGAGGAAGATTTTCACTTGCATCCATTTGGCTTGGTGGAAGTTATGTCTGAATTCCTGAAGTTTCTGATATATTTTTGTTGTGCTTGTATTTTTGGGGGGTATGTGTACATACAGATGCATACAGATGTGTTATGGAGCAACAGTTTATCTTGCTAGCTTTAATTGAAATGACTCTACACTGAACAGGCTTAAAGGTGAATGTTTAGTTTTTATTTCAGAGAAACAAAAAGTTGGGCTGTTGACTAGGTAGTTAGAAACAGGTTGGCAGGAGAGGAAAAGTGAAGCAATGGAGATATTTTTTGGAGAGTAACTGGCAACCATGGGGTTTTTTTGTACTCATCGTATGAACATTTTTTAGTGTGCATTTTGAGCATAAAAATGAGCAAACTACAGCAACACATATTTTGTATGCCTTTTCTTAGAAAGGGTCTTCAAAATGACTGGTGGCTGATAAGCCCCTTTTTTCGTCCTCAAGTCAATCAGAAAAACAGTGATTTCTTCCTCTCTCACCCATGGCTTGTGATGTCATTCCACTCTCCTCCGTTGCTCCTGATGTCCTCTTGCTTCCCCTGATTCCAGTTTTTATGTGATTTATTTAAGCATTCCATTTAATGCAAGTATACTAAGTGGTTCCTGTATAGTCAAGGAATTCGCAATGTGCTAATTTGACACTATTAACTACTTGAACTACCATTCCTGCCAATTGGTCTTATTTTTAAGATTTTTAGAATTTTACAAATGATAGATGAAAGAAATGTTGGCACTGCATTCTGTAGAGCTTGCGCATCTTGGGGTCGCTTTAGCTTTTTGTGATCAGAAAACATAATTTATTAATGTAGATAGCAGAGTTTATATCCAAGCACTTAAGCAAAGTACTGGTTTGTAACATTTGTGTGCTTTAGAGATTCACTGTTTGCAAATAAATCTCTTCTCACTTTAAAAACTAAAATCCTCCTGTCTCCTTTAGACATCCTATTGTGAATTTCTAGCCATCAGTTTATATTCTACTTGGTAAAAATGGAGCTATTAATTTTCCCTTGTCACTCTTGTCTTTCTCATTCACTTCAGATGAGAAGGATGACTGTACCATCTGGCACATAAACTTCACTTTGGGACTTTCTTTAAATGTTTGTATTTGATGTGTGTCCAAATCTTGCAGATTCTTTCTTTGAAACCTTTGTTAGATAATGGCCTATCATAACCATTACCACAGTTAAAATGTTCTTATTTTGCATCTTCATTTCAGTAATTGCTTTTTCTTGGCCAGTGCGATGTTATCTAGCCATTTAGAGTATTATGCAGGATCATTTTCCTGGTTTGTCAAATCAAGCCGTATTTATGTATCTGATTCTATCCAAAACTTATTTGTCTCTGCCTTTCAACTTTTCATGGCTTAAGTGCATTCTAGTATCATCGTTCATCCTAAGATATCTATTCCTGCTGTTAATTGGCTCATCATACGAGCCCACATTGGCCAGCTGTTTGTTTTCTTTCTATAAAGTCCTTGCATTCCTTATAAGCATCTTTTTAGAAAATCGTTTTTCTCCTCCAAATCCCTCCTTAAAGTCTTTTTGCTGTGATGTCTAAATAAAAGCTGGACAAGACTTATCTCCTGGTGTGCTAAGAATTCTGCCTGTTGAGCTGACCAGTATCAGATGTTCAAAAAAAAAAAAAAAACCCAACAAAAACTGGAGGGTATCTATTCACTGTACTTTAGCTGATCTTCAGTAACTATGTCTTTGCCCTTAGCCTGGGGAAATGAAAAGTAATATGAGTTAGGATAGTCGTCTTTCATTGACTGCAAGCTGCAATTTTGTGTAGGTTAATTTTTATTAACACTTGAAACCTGTTTCTTGTACTAACACTGTGCCCTCTTTCATTGAGAGCTAATGTAACATGAATTGCCTTGCATTTACTGTGGGCTGAGAGTATGCATGTGGACAGTTACCTGGCAGTTATCTAGCATAACAATAATTGTACAGTTCGCAGCAGACTGCCCATAATTCAGAAGGGACAAGGTAAAATACTTCTAAGTGGGGAGGTGAACTGAGAATTACAGAAAATTTGGAAACATATTTTCACTTTGATTTTTCACTTCCAAGTCTGTTAGATTCTAGGATTGTTTGTGCTTTTAGTTTTTCTACTGTAGTAAAGTATATGCTCCAATAGCCATATAATATTCTTGATGTTTCTTCAAATAAAAAATAGGAGGCATTTGAGGATATGATTTCCGATATGGCAATGGCATTTTATTCCTGAAAATTTATCAGTTGTTGTGTTCTTCTACTCCCTAATTCTTTCCATCTTGGGAAAGAGTTTTAAGACAGATTGTAAATTGTGAGCTTGATTTTACATAACATATATATATTACTTACATAATCATGACTGGTATTTTAGAGGGATGGACTGTAAATGCTATCTACCTATCTATTTTTATTGTAATCTTGTGTAGGTTTTTGGAGGTGAGGTATAGCCAAAGACATACAGCGAGTGAAATTTGAAGGTAGGGTTAAGTTTCCTTTAAGGGCTCATCAAATAAAAATAAATATATTTTTATTTTTCCCAAAAGAGTAATCTCACTGTTGCGTTTTCCAAGCTGCACTTAAAGCTAATATGCGAAGAGTAAAAATAATAGTTAATAATTATATGGTTTAGGCAGCATGCTCTATTTTATCCTTAAAAGCGTTTCAACAGAGACTCCCTTCTGGTAGCTATATTTTAGAGAAAAAAATTAAGTAGCTGTTTCATAGACTGCAAAGTCAATAGCAATTTTTTAACAAAATTGGCATTGATTTGGGGCTTTATCTTAGTAAATGTTCTTCCTTTTGAAACTATATATTCTACGTTTAGTATTATGAAAAACTGTGCTACAAGCATTAGTGTTAACAGCCTAGTATTTTAGTCCTTCACAAATTAATGCTTGTGGTAACTGGACGATTTTAGGCCTGTTCTTATAAACAAGGCCTTACTGATGTGCTAGGAACAGTAATATGTGGCAAAAACTCCACATTAACCAAGGTAAGCAGTATAAATGGGGTGTAGGAATCCCCTGCTAGACTAAAAATCTCCAAGAGAAAATCTCCAGAGCCTACAAATTAAAGACCTCCAATGTCATTTTAAAATAAAGCCTTTTATATAGTAGGAGAGCATTTTTTCAGCTGATAATCAAATGACACTATTATGCAGGCTTACTAGATTTGCAAATTTACAAGTTTTTACAAGTCAGTTGGGTCCCTTCCTCAGGAAATCAGTTTAAGTTTTTTTTCCTGTATTGACTCAAAGAGCCTGGTTGTCCTTAAATCCTTCTGAATATATTTGCCTTATAATTTGACGGCATTGAGTCAACACCCTTATAGGAACTGCAATGCAATAAAAAAGAGAAACTGTTCAATATAGTTTCCAGTTACCTTGGGATCAGATTTGGAGAAACTGGAATGCGTACAATAAAACCTGTGCAAGGCTTCCATTTTGCTTTGGAAGCACCTAGTGCTTTTTCAACATAAAATATTAAATTAAAAGCTTTGCTCTGCTTCCAGTGGTTGCAAAATGATAAAAATGAAAATGTGTATGACTCTTGAAATACGCATTTTACTGGTTATAATCTTCTGAACTGTACAGTTATGGAATTGAAAGCTTCATATATGAGTAATGAAGAATCAGTGCTTTTACTGAATTCATTTTTTATTATAGTGTTTTTCTTCTACCATATTCTGCATCTACGTTCTTTATAACTTACTTACATTTTTTAATTAGAAAAAATATGTAGATTCAGATGTGCTTGGTCAACTCTATTTTGTAAAAGTCTTTAGATGACACTGAAGCCTCCAATATGCATCATGCTTGCAAGCAGAATATGCAAAACTTAGTTGTCTCAAGTTTCTGTATGTGGTTAACAGTAAATTTGTTACAAATTGTGTGTATCCAGCAATAAGTTTCTCCTTTATTTTAGATAAGAATTAGTCGCATTTGATCATGCAGTTTTATTTGTGGTTTCATTTTAGTTTGCAAATAATATTAACCTGATGTAATTTGTTATTTTTATTAGGGCAAATGTTTATAGGAAGAAAGAAACCTGCATTTGCATATACCTGTAAAGGAAAAGATTACATCTGATGTGTTTCCAATGAATAATTTCTAAGACAGGTAACTGAATGGGCTCCATTTTAGTAATTTTTCCTTTCTTCAACCTTTTAGTTGACTTGGAGCATATGCGCGCGGTGAAAGTTGACAAGCACCAGCGATTTTGTCAGGAAAACAATTTCAGTAGCCATTTCGTGTCAGCCAAGACAGGAGATTCTGTAAGTAAGAAAAATAAAACCCTTGTAGATGTCTTTTTCATTTTTAAACATGCAGAAGTTTTATTATACTTCGCATATCAAACCGTGGAGAACAATGACTGTTGCAGGTTGTTTTAGCCTGCCTAGTTAAATGAAAAATAGATCTTTGTGTATATTCTTTATTAATTACAGTGATTTCTCATCTGATTTGCAGTTTAATGTATAGTTTTTAATATGATAATGGTCTAGTTTATATGTCAGCATGAGAACAGCTATACCCGTTTGCTGACAGCCTGTAGTTAAATGTATTCTTTCATTCCAGGTGGAGTCCCATCTATAGACCATCAATATAGAAACTTTGAACAGTTGATAGTGTCACAAGACCCTGTTGCAATCAAAGTTTTTAATAGGGGTCCTGAGCCATTGGAGACACTCCTTCTGCAGGTCCATTGAAATTTGAACATTTGGTGTTTTTAATGCTTCGCAGAGTATATTTTTTGAACAACCTTTTGACTCTGAGCTAGCTGGGTTATTTGTTTTAGTTGTAAGTGTATGGAAGAAAAGGTTATTTCTTAGTTGACTGTGTCAGTCAAATCAAATCACATTGTATTATTTTGCTGGATATGTCACATGACTAATGACTGTCATTCCCATAAAACAGTCCTGTATCTCTCTCCTGTGCTACTTATGACGGCATACTTCATTTTTATTATTGAACAGTAAGACTGTGTTCAGTTATATGCAAGTATAACTCTGTAACACAAATAGAATCAGTTTTTAAGATCTTTGATGAAATGTCTGCAATGTACTGCCTAATTTTATAAGATAATAGCTTTTCTTTGAAGTCTAACAATTTTGCTGTTACAGATGCAGTGAGTCCTCATTCTCCTTACAGTTTGTGTTAAATCTTTGGCATAATTTTTTTGTTTAAATTAGGGTTTTTTTTTAAGGTAGAAACAGAAGAAAAAAGATGTATAATACTTCACCCAATGAAGTATGCATCTGATAAAATGTATTCCTTTCTCAGGCAAACAATCTTTTTTTTTTTTTGAGATTTAGCAACAGGAAGAATAAGCAGTTCTTTTTATAAGGTTGATATATTTAACATAGCAAAATATGAAGGAATCTTTATTATGTCTTTTAATTGATTCATGAATTGCAGCAGCATCCTGCTGTATGTACTGATTGTTCTTTTTTTCACTTGCTGTATAAAGACAAAAGTAAATTTAAACGTACCTAGAAAGCATTAACCAGAAATCTGAGTATCTACTAAGAAAAGAAGGTATGAGGTATGGTTTACAGTAGTTCATTTTTTTTGTTTCAGTATAGATTTGAATTACTTCCTCATATTTTTTAGTAGTTGTGCAGGAAAGACAGGGTGCTTACCCTAGACAGTGATTTAAGAAAAGACCTTCAATTGCTGCTTTGGTTATAGGCTTAGTTAAGATAAATGTTTTTTTGTTTACCTCGGATCTTTCCAACTGACTCATTTGCAAAAGATAATTTTGTATTTAAATTTCATTCTTATCATTTTAAAAAAGCCCAAAATTCTCCTCAGAGGAGAAATAAACTTCATGAAAGATTTAGTATAGCTGTCTTACTGTCTATCAAATTGTATACGTAAAGCACTGAACTTGTGCCTGATGTTTTGCACACAAAGCATCCTCATGATAGGTGATCTAGCTCAATACACCGAGAACCTGGTGTGGGTTAAAGTAGGTGACTGGAAAAGAGACCTTGTTCAGGATTTCTTGCTGTGTGGATTCTAGTAGACCAGTACTAGACCAAGTAGTTTAGAGAAAGAGAAATTATTTTGGAAGCTACTATGGTCTGTTGGTTCTTCCACTGATTCGTTGCTGTTTTCCATCTTGGGTGTAAGAAAAGGTTGTATAAATTGTCTGGTTTTGAATTTTCACTGAAAATTACTAAAATCACACAGGGTCTTTGGAGTCCAGCTGCCTGATGAAAAGCAATGTTTGTTAGTAGTTTAGATTGTGAGCTCAGTCGAATAACCATGTAGATGAAATATAATATGGGGTTCAGCAACAGTGCAAACTTAAGCTGCTTCTCTTTAACATCTGTTCTTTGATTTAAAATGCAGCTGCCTAAAGATTGGTGGACTGGATTGAGATGAAGTAAAGCATTGCCATCCAGTGCTATCTGTCCAAACATGTCCAAATTCTAACTGCCAGGCTGCTGCATCATCTTGCTTGTTTTCTAGATACTCACTTTCGTTATAACATCCATAATATTTTGTAAGACTTCAGAACAAACAGAGCATTGCATGGCTTTCATATTGACAATGTTTTTTAAACATGTGCAGTATAGCTTTTGGTGATGTTGATGCACAGTTCTGTTGTTTTCAATTTCAGAAACCTGTAGGTTTGTCTATTGCAGAATACACTGGTAATATATTTTTTGTGTTAAACATCAGTGAATACCCTTATTCATATTTTATAGCACTGAGAGTAGTATTTTAGAGGCGAGTTGTGTAAAAGCTTGTTTAAACTTAAGTCTCTGGAGGCAGGGTAGAAGTGTTGCTTAGCAATCCGGCATACTGTTCATTCCTTGTACCATTGTTGAGTTATTTTCTCCTGATTTTTAAACAAAATTGAATGTACCAGATGAGATTGTTTTCAGGTCTCTCTTGCACAGATCATAATTTAATATATCTAATTGTTTAACAGTATTTTTTATATATTTGAAAGAAATTCATGAATGTCTGTTTTTAATCTTTTAAGTGCAATTTAATTTTTTTTCCATAGGTCTTCTTGTGTTTTCAGAGAATTGCTGCTGACATACTTGGCATCAAACTAAACAAAGCAGAATTGGAGCAATCACAGGTGACTTTTCCACAAATACATGTTTTTTTTATTTCCTGGTATTTTATTTATTGTTAAAAAAATCATTGGAAATTAGTAAGTGTCCTTTAAAGCATGTAAATATAGGGAGAAAGGTCAAATTTAGAGCTTTGCTTAAAAACAGTGCATAAAATTGGTTTAGAAATTAAATCCTCTCTATATGTATTCATATGCAGGTAGCATGGAAGATTTTTTTTATACACTTTAAATACTGTACATTGGTGTCAGATATGGTTTTTATGACAATTGTTCTTTTTTAATTCTTTACATATTTAAAAAACAATTTCATTTTAAAACTACAAATTTAAGTCATAAAAGGCATAAGCTTCTGTGGGTAGAAGTGTTCTAAATCAACCTTAATTGTAGTAATACAGGAAAAAGTAGTATTTTTTCAGTCTGAGAGTTGGGAATTAACCGTGTTAAATCCTACGTTTGGTTAATCTCAGATTTTCATCGTCTTTGTGTGCCTGTATAATACAGGACCTCAGAAGTGACTCTGCCTTGGGGAAGGAATATTGGCTTTGTAAGGTCACTATTTCCCATTTTATTCTGATTTGCAAATGAAAAATAAATCCTGTTCTGGTTCAGTATACCCATTCTCAATGGCAGGCAGAGCTGTGGAATTGCTTGTTTGGGTAGCTATTATGGCTACCTGGCATCTGCAGTTATTTTTCTCACTGTACCAGTCCCAGATGGTCTCCCCCTAAAGGAGCTGCATGGTTTATGTCCTTGCATTTTGTATTTTGTTCTTTGAGTTATGAGTATTGGGGATTTTCTGTCATTTCCTCTGCAGTGAGAAAGGGCTGAGAGGGGAGACTGTTTCCCAGCAATAGGTGGAAGGTCATCGAGAAGGTTGTCCACCATTCCCTTACGTTGGTTAGCCATGAGTTAGGGATGTGAATGTAGTGATTTTGTAGTGAACACGTGGCAGAACCCTGCTGCATGTCATGCTCTTAACTGTAGTAGAGCTTTGTTGCAAGTTCATCCTATGCATTAATTGCTATATGCAGAATGGCTCTATTGAGGGTATTCTTTTAGGACCTTGTGAATTTATTGGAAAAAGATATTTTTACCATTTAAAAAAATTAGAACTGTAACTATATTAATTAAAATGTGAGTACTTGCTTCACTATCTACAAGAGTTGGAAGTCAGTTTTTGCCAGTGAAAGGTCAAAAATGTGTTAATTGTTCAAATAAGCAATCAAGCAAGTGGTTTTCTAGTATAACCTCTTTTCCCTTTTCCTTCCCTTTCCTTCCTTCTTCCTAGCTCCTGCTTCTAAAAATAGTTTTCCTGCCTGTAAGACTGTGTGCATAGGTTTAAACCAAAAAGATTTTATACAAACCTTGTTTCAGAATCCTCAGAAACAAAGATTATACTACTGAATATAATCTTACACGTACACATACGTAGTATGACCTTACTATACAATGATGTTAGAGATTACACTGCACTTATTTTAAATTTACTTACTGAACTGAAAGTAGTTGTTTCAGTGGTTTAATATCCTGGAACTGCTAGTTACTACCAACGTCAAGCAAGTACCACAACGCAAGTCAGCAAGTTTCTCAAGAAAAGAAGAAAATGCCCAAAACATTTTTTACCTACAGCTTGGCCTCCTGCTTTTTGAAATATACAATAAATATGTAATTTCTGAAAGCGCTTTGCCACGGTGGTGTTTACAATCTGTGTTGAAGTGGTTAGCTAGAAAACTGTATTGCAAACAGTAAAATGGTAAAATATACTTACAGTGCATACCTAATGAGCAAGGCTGAGGTTCTGAAAAGCTGTAATTTATGGCTAAAGAACTATTGAGTTTGTTCATTCAATGGTTTTTACTACTAAGGCACTATCCACCTGTTGTTCTGAGCTCTATGATTATTTGCATATAAATAATTCAGCACATTAAGAGCTCCTCAGTTTTTATTCAGTTGTTTAGCTAGAACTGGAACTTCAGTCTTAGACCTCTCTGTGCTTAGTGATTTTGTGTTCCAGTAAGCTTGTAGATCGTTAGGCAAATACCTTAGGTTAAAAAGAGAATATGATCAATGGAGTTATACAGAAAATTGTAGCTTTCTAGATAAGGTGTCTATTTTTAGGTTAAAATAAGAACCTTTACATTGCCCTGACTCAAGAGTGCATAACTTTCTGTGTCAAATTGGTATTTGCCTTAAGTAGGCTTCCTCCTGCCTTAGTATTGTAATTACAGTTTTTAATTTTGTTGAGCAGATCAATGGAACATGCAGTTGTGGATCAGAGTAAATAGTCTGCAAATTGCATTAGCAATAGCTTGTAAATAGTTAATAACACATAAACTACTCCCTGTGGCCCACCCATTACTGATCATGTGAATCCACGCTATAGTGATTAAAAAAAAAAAAACAAACCAGAAAAAAGATAAAGACCCCTGAAAAAACAAGAACAAGAAAAAACAAAAGAAGAAGCTGAGAAACAAAACCAGTCAACAGAGCTGGATAAAAAAGAAACTTCAGTGTTGCCATTCAGATACAGCACAAGTCACTGTGGTGCTACGCTGTGCATGCAGAGTAAGAGCAACTGCCTGACTTTGCAAAGTTCTACTAATTGAGCATAGTTTCAGTCTACTCTGAAGAATCACACAAAGTGAATCACAAATTCTTTGTTACAAGTAGAACATTTACTTCCTTTGAGTGGGCTGTAGGTACTACTGTTTAAGTCAGTGAGAAACCAGTGGGAATTGTATTTGAGTGTATGTTAGCTGTATCTTAAGGTTCATTATTGTATAGAACTGACTACCCTGGTTCCTTCTAAAGATAGAAAAGGAGAATTCTCTACATAAAACTGGAGAAGGAGAACTCTGACCTCAGGGAGATGAATAGAATGACATGTTTGGAGAGAAATTTATGAGTCTGCGGTGGAAAAGCCTAAGTAATATGTAGGTGCTGTTTCCCAGGAGCATGGATCTGGCCTCTTAGCTGGAAGGAGGTGGTGTTACATGTTTTTGCCATCACTAGGTTTCTGGTTTAGCACAGACTTTATAACGGGTACAGGTTCCTAAGTGTGGTGGTGATGTTTGGACTTTTTTTTTTTTTCTCCTTGTTTTGTTTTGTTTTTTCTTTTCACCTGTAAAATGGGCACAGAGCTTCTTTAAATTAAGAAACAGCTATATGAATGCATTCCCTTAAACTTTTAGCCATTTAATACTCTAGCTGTTGAACTATAAAAGCAGACAGAAAAATAGATAGATGTATGCTACATAAATGTTATAAAGAAACAAAAAACTAATCTAATAGTAGGTGCGACTCATCCTTGAATCAGTAAGTATGAAAATGTTGACTTGGATTTAATCTTTAAACAAAGAGTAAAATACATTGTAGTTTTTACAAATGTGAACTAGTCAGATAATGGATCATATGTTTGAATTCCTCATATTTTGTGTAATGTGAGTTTTCCTCATTTTGAAAAACGAGAAGGTTGCTGCTTGAAAGTATTTGTTTGAGAACATCAGATGTCTTCATTCAGTCTAGGTGGTAACGAAGGGGAAGACGAAATACTGAGTTTGTGTAAAATGCCAACAGTGATATGCTCTATGTATGGTTTATTATGTATTTCTTCGTTATAACTAATTGTCTAATGTAGAGAATGCTCTTTAAAGCATATTTCTAGTGCTTTTGATTTTATGCCTGACGATGTATTTCTTGTGTTTAAGATCAGTTATAATTGCCACACTGACTAGGAGGATCTTAGAAGTGGCTCACAGGTGGTTAGAAATAAATAATAGGAACCTCAAACATGTTACTTATATGAATTTGTGGTACTTGACTCTTGACGTTAGAGCTGTGATGACTGGCAGAAGCTTTTGTGAAAAGTGGATGGGTGTTCTTGGTCCATTTAGAGTTAACAGCACCAATTCTGTTAATGAACCTCAAGAACAAGTCTTAAAAGAGTTATTTACCATGCATTTTTAGAAAACAGCTGCACCACTTTAAGATATTAATGCAACCCAAGCTATTTGTTACTGCCGTTTTGCTGGAATTTATCACTCCCACAGCAGAATCAGAAAATGGAAGGTGATCATGTGCCTTGGCCACATCAGGGTGAAGTTGAGCAGTTTAGTTTAAACTGCTGCTGAAAGTTGTTTTTAAGTGAAGCTGCCAGACTTTGTGCTGAAGCGGATGAGGTGCAAGTACATGTTACATTCCACCAGCTCTCCTTTGGCGGCAGTGATCTCCAGCAGAGGAATAGGACAGACATTTGGGGGTGGTAAGTTTTTAAACTATCTCAGCTAGAGCTACTAAACCTTGTCTGTTAACATGCTGAGATGACTGTTAATCAAACCTTTATTTGGACAAAACTGTGGTGAAACAAAGAACTAGATTACTCCTTATGCGTGACTGGAAAGTAGAGCATGTTTTTGAAATGGAACAGTTCCAAAGTAAGAAAATTGCAGATTCTGACTTATTTTCAGTCCTCAAAATGCTCTTCCTTTTAAATCACAAGGGTCTGATGAAATTTGAGGAAATAGCTCCTTTACTAATCAGATGTTTTTCTTTCTGTATTTTTGACTTTCAACTGTAGTGTAAAAACTGCATGGGGTACAGCTTTGTTCCTTGGCATTGGCAAGAGCTAGCATTTTTGTAAGTGATGTGTAGTTTTCTATTTAACTAAATGCCTGTTCAGCAAATCAGGGTGTGTGTGCCAGGTTTGTACAACAAAATGTTTGGCAGATAAGTTTGATCTGGAATTCAGAGCACCTGCACCAAGAAAGGTTCTCCTTATTGAGAGTGGTTTGAACCATGGCAGTGATACGCTTAACATAGAAACTGATACAAAGAAACCTAAGTTTTTAATTGCCATGAAGCTAATAGAAGAAATATTGTAGTGGTTTTTTTTTTTCACTCCTATTTACATGAAATTCCTTTAGAAAATCCAAGTCATTTATGATAGTCAGTTTCTTGCTACATTGTGCCTAAGCACGGGTCGCTAACCTGCCTGTGTTTACAGGATGGGATTTAGACCAATGTTCTGAGGAACAATTAATTGCCTACTGATTGCAAGACCTTTTTTTTTTTTTCTTTTTCTTTCCTCTCAGCTGTAGTCAAAAGATTGGTATGAAGAAATTAGGTCCTGTGAGGCCAGATAACACTGTTTAGTGCTAAACCTCCTACTACCACCTTATATGGGATTTGGCGACCTTTCTCTTGATAACATCAGGCCAGAAGTTGAGTAAATCATGAGTGGTGTCCACTAGATAAGATAATATGAATGTGATCAATTAAACTCTAGGCGAGTACATCAGCAGCTAATAAATCCAGATCCCTTACCAGCCAATTCAACTGTTGCTGCTTGTTTGACATTCAGGTTTTGTTTACAGAGGTAATCTTTAACATATATACTGTTTATATATTCACATAATCCAGTTAATAGTTTCCTTTAAAATAATAGTATTTATTCATGAATTCATACATTTTAACCTTGAAAATATGTTGTGTAAAGCTGAAGTATTTCAGAAAAAATTATTAAACTGGTTTCAGGTAGTTATTGTAACTGACCGACCTCTTCTGTTACTTTTTTATTCTGTGAATTATTCTCCCCTTTGCATGAGCACTGTACTAATAGTAAGAAAACTTCCAACAATTTTGTTTGACTTTAGCAGGGAAAAATGAGAGCCTTTTATTTTTGCATTATGTAGAGCAAAGTCAAAGGTTGCAGCACTTGGATGTGAGGTTGTTAATTTATGTCAGTTTCAAAATTATATACTTAGTTATAATGCAGTAGTTATGTAATGGAAAACATGTATGTGTATGTCTAATGCACTTGCTACAGTTGCTGATAGGAGGTTGAATGATGTAATATTTAAGTGCCTTAAAGGAATAGGCTGTTGCCACCTTCTCTTTCACTGATTCGCTTTTCTTTTTATTCTGTCCCTTCTCTTGCTTTAATACACGTTCATTGTTTGCATGTATAAATATTTCATTTTGGTGCTTTGATGGGCATGTCCTTGAAGGAGCTCAAGAAGCAGCCCTAATGCTGATGATGCTTTCAGCTAGACATGTTGCTCCTGCATTGTCATAAAGCTTGAGAAGAAATGCACTTTTGTTTTGCTTCTGCATAGTCTTCTTATTTCATTCATTCATTCATTCTTTTCAACTACTGATCAATCTCTCCATTTCTCTTTGTTCTCTTTTTACATTCTTCTCCTTGCCCTCTCTCCATTATGCTGATAACATGCTGATTAACAGCATGTTGTCAGGGCAGAACTAGTGAAATATCCTGAAGAAGATAGCCAACATCACAACACTTCCAAATGCCAGAGCAAAGTCTGCTCAATGCAGTAGTTCAGGTATTGGTGGAAAACTTGGTTTGTTTGTGTTTTTTTTTCCCAAGCTGCATTGCTTTTACATGAAGTAACAACTGTTACAGTAAGTTCTATTGGGAAAATGTTTTCTATAGTAGGTGCTTGTAATACTTAATGTATGAATTTGGAACTCTGTACAATTGCATGTTGATTCTAATAACAAGGTATTTCATAGAAATTAAATGCTTCATGCTGCTGTATTAAGGAGGTCCTTCAGTGCTGTGTATTCAAAATGTTGCATAGCTGCCTCAGGTAGAAATAGATTTATTTGGAAATTGGCATCTCATTTCCTCCTCCTCATATGGGAGAGACCAACAGTCTGATCAAATGCTTTTAAATAGAATGAGTAATACCTGTTGGATCTGTATTAATAAATAAATATGGTATGCAGAGGTTCTTTTTATGTTAATTTAATCTTTAGTGAGTCTGCCTATCAAAGATTTTGAAATATGATTGTATTTAAAATTTCCTTTTGAGTTCTATCTGCGTTCTTGTGCAGTGCTTGGAGTGAAGACTGAAAGACAAACTTATGTACAATTTCAAATTACAGTGTAGGCAGTTATTCTTAAAGAATACATACCATAGACTTTGTAAGCAAGTATTGTTTTATTTCCATTCAAAGCCTTTTTCATGAAAATAAAACTGTATTAATTGCTTTTGAAAAGAGCATGATCCATTTGTAGTGTTGTGAAAATCTACCAAGGCACTTCCTTCTGCTTAGGATGGATAAACTGTTATTTAGAATGAGAATTAGCACCTAGTAAGACTTCCTGTAAGGTAGTGGAAAAACCCCTAAATGGTACCTGTTTTGCCTAATATTTCATATACTTTTACAGCAGAATATCTGTTGATTTTTTTTTTTGCCAGCATGAAGGTTATATTTCCTAATTGTTAACTGTGTTTTCTTTTATGACAGAGGGTGGTGAAAGCAGATATTGTCAACTACAGTCAGGAGCCTGTGACAAGAACCATTAATTCTCCTAGAAGCTCAATGTGTGCAGTGCAATGACTGTGCTATTCTCTGTTTTGATACGTTCGGCAATTGTCCTACCTTGACACAGGCTCTGGGATTACCAGGAACTTTAACAGTGACTGTCACAACAATGAAGTTAGAGGCTTCACAAATGTGTTACACCACTGTACGCTGAGAAGCAGCAGGCAGGAAGTTTTTGTACTGGCTGAAATTCAAACCTGAGACCACACACTTTGAAAGATTAAGGTCTATATTCTTTAAAATTATATTTAAATAAAACAGTATAACTGTGTTTATATATTTCTTCTGATCTATTTGACTGATACTGGAATAAAAATGGATGAAGAAGTCCGGCATTCAAAATACTTTAAAGACATCACCATGGAAGGGTATTTTGCCAAAGCATTTTAAAATTTTTTCCTTTTCTTTCCCCTGTGATCTGAACTAACATTCAGTGAAATGTAACTTGGAAAAGCTATTGCTGGAATAATTTCCAGCACATAATGTATTTTATGTAGGGGTAATTTGGGAAGTATTCCATTAATATATGTACATAGTGCAAAATGTATAAATTGTATCCACTAAGACACAGTGCTTGAAATAAATCCATAATTATAAAAACAGTCACTGAAGTCTCCAGTTGTTTCCACAGATGCTCTGAAAAATGCTAGTGCTTTTGTGTATTTTTATTACGACATCAGCATTACTTCTTGCAGTAGTAGATATGCTCATATGTCTTCATGAATATGGATGAACCTCAGTTGACAGTTTGGGCTGTAAATGTTGAGTGATATATTCAACATGCATTAGAAACTGTTGATAGATCAATTAGGATCAGTCATTTTTAATAACTAAATGAATTACCTTTGGCCTGATATTCTTTTCTTTCTAGTTCAGAGTAAATGACAAAAAGCTGTATGTTCTGTGATCAGCACATTTCTCCTCTGTTCCTTTGCTAGCAGTCTCTTTTAGGTGTGCAGTTCTCTGCTGGCATATCTGAATAGAAAGCTAAGAAGAAAAAAATATTAAGCCAACTTGATTCCAAACTAGAAATCTTTCTCATGTTTTAACTCTAGAATGTGTTTTCTTATAAAGTACAACAAAGCATTTCGAGATTTAGAGAATTAGTGAGGCTGAGTGAAGGAAGCTTATATATCACAAGTGAAAATGGTGAGTTTCTTCATAGAAGTTCTCCTACTAAGCTGTTCAAGCAAGTGCTTAATAGTTGGAACTACTAAACTATTAGTTTAATAAAATAGTTGACCTATCAAGTTTAAAAAAAAAAGAAGATTGCAGATGGCAAGAATGTGCTTTTTGTTATTATTGTGGTATATTCCAAGTTCATTGGAAAGCTAAGTTCATTTTTACCCCATGCAAATGCAGCTTGTCACAGTTTTATAGCTGTGCGAGAATGACTTACTCATGATACTGTATCATTCAAATGTGGAATATTCTAAGAAACAAGCTGAGATACTGAGAAATTATTCTACACTAAGGTAGGTGTGAATTTGCAGTAAAGTATTCATTGTAGGGTTACAGTTTGTGTTCTTGTTCCTCTTCTGTGGAGCTTGTATCCCATTGCATAGTATTACCTTATAGTTAAACACAACTGAATGGTGAACTGTCTTCCACTACGACCAGATGAGAAGTTCTGTTCAGTTTCTCTGAAGTAGCTGGGAAGTTTACAAGGTTATGCCCTCCAAAGCATGTGGTGTAAGGTTCTTTGAACCATCGGATTTCTCAGTGTGTTTGTGTCCTGAACTCTGCCCAATATGCTCAAATATTCATGAGAACTTCCCTTTCCCTGAGGAGCTGAGCACAACCTGGCTCAGCTGCATGGCTAGAGCCATCTTTGTCTCATGCATGTGAGCCAGCTTCATAGTTCTGCTTTCCAAGTAATATGTAGCATGGTCTTAAAAACTGAACAGTGCTTTTCTCTTAAAAACTTCTGTAATCTTACATTTCAGAAGAAAATGCTTTTTCATAACTTGTAACACAAAGTCCATTATTACCCTGAATGATGAAGAAGTTTTGCTTTTATACTTGGGGTAATCTTGCAGTATGAAGGCTGTGATATGTGTCCCAGTGCAAAGTATTTTACAGATGGATTTTACGTCTCTGTCTCAGCATGATGTTTTATTCTCATGCCTCTTTCTCTAGCTGCCTGTGACTTGTACATCCTTTTGTGGTTTATTCACATTGATCTTTGCACCATTTTCTGTTAAAGGCCATACCTCCTCTGGAGATATTATTGTTTACATTCCCAAACTGCTCTCATTCTTCCTCCCTAGCATACGTGTATATTATTTACGCTAACCCAGAATCTCTTGTCTTCTGTGCTTCCAGCCCCTCCTTTTGCTGCCCCTCTTAACCTCCTCAGCTTTTTTGTATTGTATACTGACTTCCATTCTCCCTCCCTTTCCCTGCCCTTCCTGCCCCGTTTAGATCCATTACCTGTCCATGTTTTAATCCTTACAAATGAGCTTTGCTCTTTTTGCTCAGCCCCAGGAGACCCACCTTGAGCCTTTGGATTCCAGCTGCAGCCTAAATCCATAGCTGTGGTAGCTGCCTTTGAAGTGCTGCAGCAGCTGTGGCTGAAGGTTCAGGGGTACCTTTGCCATTGCTACGGCCCAAGTTCCACCAGGCAGAGCAGAAAGGTCAGAGACAATTCTGGAGGATTAAGCAACGCGGAGCGAGGGAGTAGATAGACATGTTGTGCAGGGATGGCAAGGGATCTCTGGTCACTGGAAGGACAGAAACAAATCTGGTGAGAGAGGTGTGTAGGGGGAGGCAAGCTAGACACTAGCCTGTACCCGGTCTCCTTGTCACTGCTGATCTACACAATTCACATCTGGTAGAGTTAAAGCATGTGCCATATATATGCACTTTAAAATTTTTTGCAAGGTGAGAACTGGTTGAAAGTAATTCAACGAGCAATGATAAAGTTAAATAATGCAAGGCTTTCCAAAAGTGAGGCGGCATATGCTTAATGTCCATTGACATGGGGAGTGGGCTAGGGCAGAGGGAAGCATGTTTTCCTCTGAAGCTGAGGCCAGATGAGGGGAAGAAACATGTTCAAGCCCTGAGCTTACACAGATCCACACTGGTGAAGTGATCTATCTGCGCAGAGCTGTTGTAACTAATCATTTCAGTAACAGCTCCACAGCTAAAAATTGTTTCTAAGTTCAGCTCCTTGCTAGGGTCAGCCTTGTGTGATGTGGTGGATACCAATACGCACATTGTGTCTGGCTGTGCATTATATTAACAGTGATTTTAAAACATGTATTTGAACTGTTACTAAGCTCATGTAACTTCTTACCTTTTGTGGCTCTAAAGTTTGGTAGGGTCAAATGGAATCTCTCTCACGAACAATGGTGTGGTTCCCTTATGACCAAATGCTGTGAGCACCAGAGCCTGCCACGAGTTCATGATCTTTCTGAGTACATGGTTCTTTTGACAGTTTGTAAGAAACTTCCGTAGAGTACTATTGGGGTTTCACTGGAACTAAAGGGCTTTTGAATCAGGTGGCTTCAAATGCAGAGATAATTTGCTAGTCAGAGTAGATGCTGGCAAATGCACCTGATAATGAACCCAGTAGCCCAAATTTTATAATAATTTTTCAATGAAAAATTATAGCAATACTTAAATTGTCTATTCTTTTGCATTTTTTTGTTTGTTTTTGTGATTACAACAATTTAAATAAGTCAAAATCTTATATTTTCTTTTTACATTAAATTTATGTAAGGAATATAATTGTTTCTTCACAAAAGAATGTTTGTAATCTTTGTTTCATGGTGATCATGACCTTTTCATACAATTTCTAATAGAGACTGCTGTTTAGAAGGTGTCGCTATTCCATGCATTGATCTGAAACCAAGGATTTGAGAGTCACTGGGAAGAGAAGTGGAGCTGAAGCCTTGTCGCTATGTACCTGTGCTGTACTGGGATCACTGCTCTGGGCTGGCCCAACAGCTCTAACTGACTGAAAGCAAAATAAAATCCCCCATAACTTGATGTCTTTAACCCTTTCAAAGTAAAACTTGATATATTTAATTAGCACTTTACTGTTCTGTGTGAATTTTGGCATTGACAGAAGACTAAATTACTGTGCCTTAATTAACAATTTTATAATAATGGGAAATTTTCGGCAGGAGAATTTTTCCTGTTTTGGATACTTGCATTCATTTCTGATGTAGCTTAAGGGTTTGTATGAAGGGCCTGATAGATACATTTAAAGCTGCACTGGCTTTTATAGAAGTTACAGTTACAAAGCTGACATGATGAACTACTTTTCCTTCTGGAATTTGAGTATTATTTCTCAAGCAAAGAGGTCATTCCACAATGTTGTGTTCTTTTCTTTCTTAGTTCAAGTACTACTGCTTAACATATCATCTGATTTCTTTAGGCTGTCTTCACTTAAACTCATAACCACTTAAAATGTCAAAATAGCTGAATGCTACTGAAGGGAAAAAGCCCGAATTTATCCATGTTTGCATAGGGGTAATGGCATACATATGAGATTAAAACTCCAGTCCAGATAATTATCCATAGGGAGCAAATACATACTCTGATTTCAGATGCTATGAATAGAATATGATTAGAATTTAATGTGCTACAGTTTTATTTGCAAAATACACAGGTCTTATATAAAACCTCTTTTTATAAAGTACTCTCCATAAGCCTTGGGGATCCCTGTTTAACTTGCAAATGCCGAAGTTTGATCTTCCCCAAATAGAAGATAGTGAAGCTCCTGAGTTCCATGAACTGATTTCTATTTTCAGTTTCCCATAGAGAGCTGACTGTTCAGCCAATGCAAACTCTTTTTTTTCTACTCCACTTCATCTTCGTTCATTTTGGCACCATTTTGAACTGGAAAACTTCCAGTTAGCTAATTGGCTATTTGCCTTGTTTTATGTGGGGGTGATGTCAAGTGCTGAAATAACCAATTGACTGAAAGCAATCTTGTTTCAAAGGTTGGTCAGAATCAAACCTCAGAAGGTACCAATTTCAGGTTTGTTTTGTATTTAACCGCTACACAGCATTCCTTATCCTAGTGGATGAACCTCAGAGAAGAATATAGATTTGAGGTCAAGAGCCTGTGTTTGCTCAGATACCACATTTAGAGCACTGAGTTCTGGAGGAAATAGGAATCCAGGTATTTTTTTTAATTTCACTTCAGGACTTTCTCTGCCTCTACTTTCTAATGTCCTGTTGGCAATCAGTGTTTTTAAAATACATTAATGTCCTCATTTATAAAAAAGATGTGGTAATTATACCATACAAAAGTTTTTCTCTTAAGGATGAATGGAAAAAGCTGCTTTTGTTGCATGAGATATCACTGGCATAGGTGAAGGTGTTCATTAATAATCAACTTTACTTTCTATGATCTGCTAAATATCATATATTCTGCTTTCTGCTTTGCTAGTTTAAAATACACTTCAGAATTATAATAATTATAAATACAAAATACCAAACTGGTTTTAACTAATTTGTGCCTCAGAAAACTGGTCCTGCAAACTGCTGCAGGCAAACATTTTTTCTTTGCTAGCTAAACTCCATTTCTGTCCTTTCCTGGGCTGATCCATACCAGGTAGCTTGCAGGATCATGACCTACTAATCCTTT